TGTTCTTACTCACCTTTGCACTGGTGGCGTTTGTAGATATCCACCCCCCAATCCCCGCCCCCCTCCTGATGGGGGGGGGAATTCTGGGAGTTGAAGTCCACACATCTTCAAGTGGCCATGGTTGAGAAACACTGCTCTACATAGACCAAGAGTAAAAGAAGAATGCTGGCTAGTATTTCTAGTTGACTGTGAGATCTGTGAGGGAAACAAAGGAGGAGTATTTGTTCCCCTTCATACCGTGGGCTTGGATGGAGATTTAGGCTTCATAGGTAAGTCCTTCTGAGAAATCAGGGTTAGATTTTAGCTTAGCTGAAATCCCAGGATCCAAACCCGTCCAATTCTACGTGGCTTACGTGGAAGCTGTGAAAAGAAAAAGGGATGTTTTCTGGCTACACTCTTTCCATTCTTTGTAATGGGAATGGTCAGTATAGCAGCACTGACATTGCATGGTCAAAATGTTCTGTTCACACACAATCGTTCTTTGCACCCCATATCTCACAAGCAAGAAAATAGCTTGTTTAGGCCATCCAGCGAACCTGTGGCTGTTGAACCATAAGTTGGATTTAGAACTCTGGCATGTGCTCTTTGGCTGAGTCTGGGTGTTGGTGTGCGCGTTAAATGCATATTTTTAGAAGGGCTGGTGATTCAAAATGTATTTTTCTTCTTCATGAAAGCTATTCTGGGAAAAAGTAGCAAAGTCCCTCAGGCATAATTCCATTCAAAATAAGGATTTGTCGGTGCTGACATTTTAAGATTTAAGTGTGATACTAATTGTGGCTGAAGATGATGGTATGGAATTATAGTATAATTTTTCCTACCAGATTATATAGGCTGCACAATTCTGCTCTTTGTCTTCATCTTTACTTTGGTTAGAGGGAACAAAATAAAACAATTTGCTCTTTTCCTTAGCTTGTCTTTCTGATCTATACAGTGTCTAGTACAAGGCTGGTAACCTCTTTGGTCATTTTAACACTTCGGAGGGTCCCAGTGAAGGATTTTTGCAGCCACTGATCAAAATGCATTATGAACCTCTCCTTTTTCTCGTAGCGGATTTTCTGCAGAAAGGAAAAAAGATGGAAGTAGTGATGAATAATATAGAAGGATTATAAATGAAAGGCATTGTCTGGAGTCCCCTCCCTGTTTAAATTGTGCAGATGAGGCTGGATGATTGGATAAGAATGGCCTAATCTGGAAGCTCCTTTTGGTTTGTGATTTAGTGTCCATCAGGATACAGATTTTTCTGTCTAAGCAGTCTACCCGCCCAAGGCATTAAGGTGTAATGTTTTGGAAGAACGTGCCTTGCATAATATAGCACCCCTCCCCTATTCAGTAAAGCAGGTCACCCTTTTTAGGTTCCATATGGCCAGAAAAAGTCACGGCTGCTTTAAGGAGTCAGCTCATTAAAGCTAGTGCAACTTTTAAAGCAGCCGCATTCAGTCTTCAGGTTTGTATGGGATCCTGAAAAAGAACAGGTTGCTTTATGAATAGCAGAGAGATGCAGAGCTTGTGCTCGCATAAGGTCCAACATACTTCTTCCAAATCATATTTGAAATGTGTTCCACTTGGTTGAATAAGATTCACTGCTACAGTTTTTGTCTTGTTCTCACTACTTTTCAAAAGGTGGTGGTGTTGATCTTTTTAATTTTTTAAAAATTGTATT